GGGGTGTTTCCATTAAAAATGGGTCACACTGTATATCTTAAACATTTGTTCTGAAGTTTTTCCAATTTATATAATGTGGAGTGATACTCGCCAAACTATATATTTGATCCAAATTCAAATTTACTTCTAACCAATGAATACCGAATGAATACTGCTGAAATTTCTAGTTTGCCTTATAATAAACCCTAATATTTTATTTGCATTTCTTGTAATATGTTTCATGTGAGTCCTGAATGATAATCTGTTCGTCATCTTAATTTAGGTCGAGATTGGATTCGAAACCCCTGACTCTTTTATCCTGTATGGTTTTTCAGATCTGTATTTTTAATGTGGAGCACGGCCGAGATTTCTCTCGCCATCTGGGTATCCCTCTTGATGGGATGATTTCCTGGTGATGTGATGTGTGCCTCGAGATTTATTATAATCTCACCCCGTAGCGAGGCCTTTGAGGCGTTTTTAGTTCGTCTTGGTTGGAGGGGTGTTTACCGTCAGCATAGTTTGCAGGACGGGGTAGTTCGTTAGCAGTGTCTGCAGTTGGTCGAAGGCCGTACATAGTCTGTCGACCAAACTGGGGCCGCTGCTTTCAGTAGTTTTTACGGCCCTCGCATATGAGACTCCGTTTTTGACTGTACTTGGTCCTGTCAGACTTTTCGGTTGGACTGGCAGGTCTATGGGTTTGTTGTTGCCATTTTTGTTTTTCGGATGTTCCGGGCATCCTTGAAACTTGGCAGGGTGTTCCCCTTTACAATTAAAGCATTTTGCCGGGGCTTGCTTTGACTCCTTACACTCAGCCGTCATGTGGTAGCCGGCGCATCTTAGGCACGCAGGTATTGCCTTGCAATTTCTTTGCGAACTTTTGACAGCGGTAGCACTGCCCCACTGCTGTTCGGGGTCGTTGTGGTTCACTTTTAACTTGAACGTTTAATATTTCCCTAACCTCCTAAATGTGGCTCTGTTTTCTGGAAACTAGAACCAGTACGAGTGGGAGTGCCTTTTTTTTGCTTCTTTAGCCTGGCTATCGAGATGATGTCGAAGCCCTTGGCTTTTAGGTCGTCTTTTATTAATTCGGTCTCGAGGTATTCGGGGACGCCTCGAAACACTATTCTTAATGGTTTTGCTTTCTGCATGGTATACCTAGGTGTGGTGCGGGATTTTTTCTCTGTCAAGTATCTTGACTATTTTATGAAAGTCGTCTGGACAGGCAGGCTGGACTTTAACGCCATCATTGGTGTTTACCGCTTTCGTGAAGTGTATTTTCTCTTCAGCGGCTATATCGTTAAATTTCGACCACTTATCTTTTTGCCTGATAGTGATCGGTGGAGGTTTTTTTGCTTTAGAGCCGGTTGCCTGAGTTGCATTTGGCATCGCGGCCTCCTCGTCATGTGCCTCAATTTCCATATCTTCAGGAGTACGGGTTTCCTCTGGTTTTATGGCCTCATTGACTTCCTGGACATCTACGTTTTCAGGGGTATTTGTCTTGAGTTTTTTAGGTTTTCTCGATGGTATTTCTATCTTCTCGGTTTTTGGTGCATCACTTTGTGATTTGGTCTTATAATTTGTTTTGGATTTTTTGGGAGACTCTATCTCCACAGGCCGTTTTTTATTTGAAATCGCCTCTTCTTCAAGGCTCTCTTCAGTTGAGTAGCCTGAGTTGTCCATTTGATCATCCATATCAGGGCAGCCTCTTCTCTGTTCTATTTCCTGCCTCTTTTTCCGTATCATGATATGTGTGGAAACGAGTTCCTTGGGAGAAACATCGTTAAGATCTAGCAACTTGGAAATCATTGCTAGTACCATTTCTCTTTTTTCATTACTGGCATCGAGTACAAATGCATCAATAATCAACAGTAGCTTTCTATTTAATTGTATTCCTGAATGATAATGTATCATTATATGTAATTCCTAGGTATTTTATTTCTACATTTCTTTCAAGTGGGACCCTATTCAGTTCGTAACTGAAGAGAATAAGATCTTTCTTGCGCGTAACCGAAATTACTGGACATTTATCAACATTGAAAAATAATTTATTGTCAAAATTAATTCAAAGAACTAAGATTATAAAAAAAGGAAAGAAGAAAAAAATCACATCAAAGGTGCTGCTTCGTTCCCTCCTGTTCATAAAAGAGGACATATGCCTCATCGCTCAAAAGTGTGAATCGTTGTATTCATGCCACGTGCCACTATATGGGTGTCTGCAATATGCTGTGTAATGGCCGTTGTAAGTTGTCCCACTGTGATTTGAAAGTGCATATAGATTATAACGACAAGGAGCCACGTTGTATTCATGCCACGTGCCACTATATCGGTGTCTGCAATATGCTGTGTAATGTCCGTTGTAAGTTGTCCCACTGTGATTTGAAAGTGTATATAGATTATAACGACGAGGAGTCACATTGTCTGCTGCATAACTGCTCATATCTCTGGGTGGAGCACATACGAAACATCTAATTTTCGCACCATTTGGTGAACTTTGGCGATGATACGGTTATAAATACAGTACACAGAATAAGACAAGGGGAGATTATCATGGTGCATTGAAGAGAATGTGTTGAAGAGAGAAAGTATTCTAAAAAATATATAAACTTTCTTGTGGGTCGCGCTTAGTGCAGGACTACGTCAGTCAAGAGTTCCGAACGATATTTAAGACCAGCCATGGTGGTCAACTATCTACTTTTTCTTCTGCGACAACTACTTTCAACAAAAACTGCCAGTACAGAAAAAACTAAAAGTGTCGACCATTTCAAAACGTTTACTAATTGAATACACTCTGAAAATCTAGAATACCTGCGACAGAGAATTGATCGGGATTGCCAATTTCTGACTCCGGACATCTTCAATAATGTAAGGAACGCTTTCGAAAGTAGACTGTATTATTTGTATGGAACTAGATGAAGGTCATTTTGAACACTTTATCCGTTGTTTGTGTTGCCATTGATATTACTTTTGTTGATTTCCTTAATAAAATGAGCGACAGCGAATTTTACGGCCTTTCTTAAATAAAACGTTCAACATTTAATTTCTCAGTAACGAATGATCCAATTCCGAAAAAATCACAGTAGAGGGACAGAAGTTCTTTCAAATGATGTTTCCCCATGCCATTGAAAAAAATAAGGGGGAGTTGCTGCCCGCAGGGGGGTGAAGTTTCGGGTATGATTTCCATATCAGAATAAGTCCACCTAGAAATAAAAATTGACGTGTTCTTTGAAATTTTCGATTACACATCCGTCTCATACTTACAGAGGGGGTCAAGTTTTCATTGGAACGCCCTGTATCATTAAGTTTCCAATGATTTTTGTTTGAACAATAAAAATAATTTTTCCCTGCTTCAAAAGGTTTTTGAGTTCGAGCCAAAAAAAGGGTAAGTTTCAAAATAACTTCAAAATCGCTGCTGTTTTGAGACCTTCGGAAATGAATTTCATTGACGCGACTATAGTGCCACGTCTACCCCTTTACTTTGACATTCAAAATGGCGCCTTGTTGGAACAATTTTTTTTTCAATAAATGACATCCTTTATTCCCCTTCCCATTCACTTACACCAAAAAACTAGTTCTTATATCTATACACATAATTTTTCGACCTTTACCCAAACACCATTCGTTCAATTGGCAGGTATTTCCGAAACGTTCAACAACAACTCTGGTGTCTCCATCTATCCGCTTTCAGTGTAACTAAGAATCGACGCTTGCGTGACGCCCTGCCAAGAACGCGCCCGCCCAGATGGACGCCAGTAGTCTTGCAACTATGGATAAGGATGCTTTAAAGAAACAGATAGAGAACATGAAGTATCAGGCCGCCATGGAGCGTTGGCCGCTCTCCAAATCTATTGCAGCGTGAGTAATTATTCCATTGATTTTTTACTTGTTACCGCTTCAGTGTTTTTTTGCCTTGCTTTTATCCAATTGAAGGATTAGCATGTCCCGATCGCGGGTGGCGAGTTCTACTGAATAAAACAATAACAATACGGCTAGTCATATTGCGGCATTTCTCAACAGCATGTAGTTTACTGCATTGAAATTCGGAAAAAGCAAAACATACGGGTACATATCACAAGTAAATTAGTCGCTCTTGCTCGTCAGAAGGGCGAGTTTTTATTTACTTTTCAGAATTCGGTACTTGATTAATGACAGAAGCAATTTTAATGGGAGTAGATTGAATGTGGCATGACCTAAATAGTTATCTCAAAAGGCAATCAATAAATGAAGGAACAATTACTTTCCAACCTCAAACGTATTCGAAATAAAATGATCAGAACTTGGTAGCTGTTCTCCAAAAGCCACTTTTATCTTATTCAGAATATGCACATAGGGTAAGCGTGTTGCAAGGGGAGTTTTATTGATTTTCTGGGAAACGTCATAGCATGTGTTTCCACCGGTACCTATTGAAAAACAGTGGTTTCTACCTCGGGAAATTTACTGTCTCATCAACTAGATTTCAAAGGGAGTGCGCCTTTCTTGTTTACCTTATCGCTGTGTACGCATTTATTTTCTTCGTCAAGTCGCCCTAGGTAGGAAATCTTCACCATATGTTGCGAGGAATATGATGAAACAGAATATAGGATGTTATTAAATGTACGTTATGGTATTATCCAAGGAGGTAGTTATTTGCATCATTTGAAACTTAAAAAAGATGAAGTGTAGAAAATGTTGACTCTATGTTTTCAAGAAAAGTATTCGATGAATCTTCTTGGAAGGGTTTCTGTTCCATTTTGATAGATATTTTATTTTCCTTTGAATTTTATAATACTTGTATAACACGAATATACATAAAGACATCATACGTTATGGTAAACTTCAGAATCACAAAATTGAACAATTTTTAATCAATATATAAAAATATTTCGACATTGGATACAAGTTGAAACCATTCGACATATACTTCCAACAAAATGAAATATAATTAAATAATTTACATTCTGACATGTTGGATGCTGTAATTTTTCTTCAAGAAAATCTTGTACTGAGTATTAGGTTTTTTGATCAAAATTTTCCTTAAATTATCTTCAAAAAGTTTTTTCTTCATATCCTTTAGCTCTTCCAACTCACATATTTTGTTATAGAATTTCATTCCCATAGGTAGAGTAAAGTCTCCTAATATGGAGTAGTTTTTTCAAAACACCATAATGTTTCATGTTTCATTGGATATACTATCAAACATTTAATAGGAAGAAACGTGTATTTTGAAAAAGCAGATGAAAATATGCAGAATTTAAAAAAAGTGCACTACCCTATATGAGGGGTATATGATATCCTAATGAAACTAATGAATATGTCTGTCGAAAATGGCAAATTTCCCACTGCCTTGAAGGTGTCGAAGACAATACCTGTTTACAAAAAAGGTGATCCAGAAAATATTGACAATTATAGGGGAATAGCGGTGCTCAGTCCCTTTTCAAAAATTTTCGAACGAGCNAGGTGGGGCTGCTGTCCCGGGACCTCTACAGGAGAGGGCCCCACACATTTTTACTAATAATGTATTTATTTATTACACGAATAGGGATACAAACAGAATAAATCCAAAAAATATCCTCATTTCACATATGAAAGATAGTGAGTAAACAAAATATAAATGCCAAGTACATTACCCTATATAGTAATGAATATCAACAATGAATATGACACAAGGGAAGTAATCATTGGAACTGTTCGAGTCTTAGGTCGTTTCTTGAGTTTTTTTTCAATGGCATGCGTTTTTGTAGCTTCATATCTCAATAAATATTCATTAATCTGTGTCGTGGTATATACTGATCGATAGAGAATGTTGTACTCTATACATTGGTGTTGTTCACTTTTTTTAAATTTTTGATTTCTTGCCTCTTTTCTGTTTACTATATGATGTTGATAATCGATTTTCAGATGCTACAGTCTGAAGTAGATTCATTAAAACGGTCAAAACATTTGAAACAACCTATAGCACAGACATATACTTTAAACCCTCCAAATTCACTTCTCCATAAAACATTCTTTTTAATTCCAAGGGTTGATAAACTAAACCGCACTTCTTCTTCTTCTTAGTTTTGGCACAGTATACTTATATACAGTAATCCCACTTCGGGTGATTTTTGGTATGAATTTTCTACACGCAGACCCAGGAGTTGCAGTCTCAGATCTGCGCAAACGACGAGTTCAAGACAGGCAAATCATTGGAACTGTTCGAGTCTTAGGTCGTTTCTTAAGTTTTGTTTCAATGGCATGCGTTTTTGTAGCTTCATATCTCAATAAATATTTATTAATCTGTGTCGTGGTATATATACTAATCGATAGAGAATGTTGTACTCTATACATTGGTGCTGTTCACTTTTTCAATATTTTTGATTTCTTGATAGCAAATTTTTACTAGATGTGCAATTCGAAAAAGTAAATTTGAAAGATTGTCTGCATCATGTCCTTGTATTTTAATTGTTCATTTTTTATAAGTCACGAAAAGGTAATGGTGGCACTAATTTATTTTTCTTCTATTCCACAGAATGCGGGAATACGTCGAGGAAAACGAAAAGAACGACCCACTCATTCATGCCCCGGACAAAAAGAATAACCCGTGGGCCGAGAAGGGTAAATGCGCCATCATGTAGAATCAGCAGATGATTCTCGGCTTCCTTATTATTATTTTTCCATTTGTCGTCATGATTTTGCCGAACATCAACAGTTTATTGCCTAGCAGTGTAGCAGCAGCCCACTATTACAACGGGCCTTTCAACATTTTCTTCGGATAACCATATATATTCCAGTAATCGAGTAGAGGAAATATTGCAATTGTTATGTAGTTTAAATATACTCATGTTTTGTGTGCATCTTTGTCATATATTAATCGATATTATATCGCACTTTTTGCATGATGGAGTTTAATGGGTTAAAACAGTAGAATACTGGGATTTTCAACTTTGATGGCTCTGTTCGAGTTCGAGAAGTTTTGACTCCGCGCTTTCTTCGGTATAGTGGGTTGCGAATAAATTACGTCTAAATTCACGGAAGCAATCGATCACCTCTCCTTTGTCTCCAATATATGGACGAATTGAGAAACGATCTGCAGAAATTTGAAAGGGGGCAAAAGAATTTGTCAAAGTGTAACTGAGTAGTAGTACTAGCTTTGCTTGACTAAGTGTAAAATAATAATGTGACCCAAACGAACTGATATTTCTAATTGTTTTATTTACATTGATTCATATTCGCTTTGCTTGTGCTCATAGATGTGTAAACTTCATGTAATGCTTTGACGTATGTTGATCCTTATCGAATTTTCCTGATCATTTAGGCAATCGTCCGTATAGAACATTCGTGATTTTGGCCACCCATTATCTCTTGTATTGAAATCAATCAGTCACTATAAAGGCAGCTCTTCGATAATCATCTCCCACTGTTGGATTTGAACACAAGAGGTTTCTCGTTTCCCAAAATTTTCTCGAGGTTTTCAAACATGCTTCGAACGAGTCATCAAATTTGATAATACTTCTTGAGTAGCTTTATTAAAATTAATGTTGATTCTTAGATGTAGATATATACATTGATATTCAACTTGATATTCGTATAATATTACGGAAAATTATATATTCAGGGTGTAATTCCGTTTTGTGGGTCGGGAATCTCATGTCAGTGAAAATTCTGCCGATTTTCGGGAATTGTATCAAATTAAAGGCTATGATAATTATCCAAGAACATCTGGAGTTGATATTGCTTTTGAAAATCACCAGCAGAATTGCGCAAGAGATAACTATTTGAGTTTCTGGAAAAGAGATTTGCAGGAACCAAATGTGGTATTGGAAACGCCCTGTTGTTAACTATAGTGACTATAATTATTCCAAGTATTTGCTAGAATTATATCTATAATAACGTATTTGTTGCTAATATAATAATTCTTTAACGATGTTTTATCTACCGTTTATATTTAAGAGTACGTAATAGCCATTAGGCCAGTTGAAATTCTGCTTAAAATAAGCTTGATGACAAGGAAACAAATACAAAAACCAGTGGGTTGTGCCACCATAAAACACAATTTCAGCTGGTGGTATATGACTTCATTGATCAACTTCTAAAATCGATCTTCTCTTAAATTTACTCATGCTGCGAATTACCGTCATCCTTGTCCCAAAAACAAGTACACTTCACCTCTTCTATTTGTTTTTGGGATAACACAAGGTTTTATTGAACTTTTTGGAAAGAAAAAAATTTCAAGAATTTTTGAATAGCAGTATTTAAAAAAATTGAGGAGGTCTCTTTGGTTGTTGAGCAATGTGTATATTTAATCGATTAGGAAAAATATATATATGTACCCACTTCTAAAAGTATATAAGAATAGTTCATAATACTTTATTAGGTTTTTATATTCAGATACTCTAAATGACAGTACTTCATTAAGGAAAAATCCATGTTTGAATTTTGATACAAACTTTTCTTGATAAAAACTCCCAGAGGAAATACGATCTTCCCATAGTGACGAAAGTACGGCAAACTTTTTGGATATTACATTGGTAGTCAGAAAATAACATCTGAAAATCCGAATTCCCAATGACGCTCAATGTGATTTTCAAAATTTTCCCCAACTTACCAAGAAGTATAGTATAAATTTTGCGCTTTCAAAATGTGCTTAGACAAAAACGTTCGAACGTTTTAGTTTAATCACTGCTTCAAAACTACTGAATTATATAACAAAGAATATTCAGCATTAAACTCACAGACATCTGTATATTTATGTATATTTAGAAGGCTGTCGAGAGACAGACCAACAAAGTTGAGAAAGGCGCTTCTACAGCCTGTCCCAACTGAGTTGTATTTAGGTTGTTTCGTGCTTGAATCATCCAGTACATTAATAGGAATTTTGAGCTTGTTGCTATAGGAATATGTGTACTTAGTGTTAAATTATGTGTAAGTTGAACATAACAATATTCATAGATAAGATTCTGAACTCGATACTGCGTCTGACAGTAGAAAAAATTTCCGTTAAATAGTTGAACTAGGCAATACGACAATATTAAAATATGAAGATGTTGAATTCTTTTTTACCCGATTCTGACGATATTTTTGTGGGGATGCTTGTTTCAATATTCAAACATGGATCATCACTATTGCAGCAGTTACTTAAAACTGATTATTCAGATTTGGATATTCAAAAATAATATGTAATCCTTCTGATATAATGAAATTATATTGTACTTTCTTGGGAGAAAATAGTTTAACTCATCATCACCTTACTTGGATATTTTGCTTCGATAAAGGCTAAATTTAGAACCATATATATTCTAGTTCAACTTGTTGATTTTCGAATATTCAACAGGAGGTTCAAAAATAAAAAACTTCCAGAGAATAAATATATTTTAACCAAGGTACTAGGGAAATTCCAATAAATATGTACAATATAATCAAACTATTTCATGAACAACACAATTTTCCAAATATCGAAAGGGTCTGAAGCCTGGCATATTCTCCTAGATGCGTTGGTTGACTTAATTATCGAATAAAGTTCATTTCAGTTCATTGCACTTCATTCGGATAGTGTTCTCATAAGAAGCAAACCATGAAAATTGAAGGCGAAAAACAATAGAACAGGGGCTTCAGTTATTTTGTTATGCAACATATGCAGTTGCGGGCAAAATTTTCAACACCGAGGAAATATGAACTCTGAAGTAAAAAAGTCTAGTAATTATTTTATGGGAAGAAGCCACCTCTTCTCCAAGTATATGAGATGGGTATTTCATTCAATCAAAAGAAAGCAGGACTGCGCTAAAACGAGATTGATTATCGAATCTTATTATATATCTAGTTGAGACTTCTTTCCTCTGAAACTTTTCCTTTCGCTATTTTCAACTCTGGGCAGAATAAGATTTTTATACACATTGTTTGTAAACAAGACAGTCAAGAGCAATATGCAATATTTTGATTTTGCAGTAACTTCTTTAACTAAAATAATTTGCATACAAAGTGACATACTCCGGTTAACGGACAAAGCTATTCAGGCTCTTATTAGCGTGGCTTATACGATCAAGCCATATAACTGCTGCCTCTAGACGTTTGTAAAAAGTGACGTTTATGCACATAACCTGTGAAATTGTTCTGTGAATTTTGGATTGTACATGTTTTCATTTGAATTTTGTCTCGACAAAAACTCATTTGAAGAAAAAGAGAATGTTTTAAACTTTGTCGTCTAGTAATATGATGAAAGTCGCAAAAAAATAAATATAATATATTTAGTTTTCAAATATTTCATTCTTATTTGGTGTGGATTAATATACATGCGTAGTATATTAGTAAAAGTAACTTATATGATGAATAGAACTACTAGACAGATCAACACTAGGAGCTCAGCAAACAATGATGCATCTGTAAATCGCCTTGTTCTATCAAAATTTAAAAAACCAGATAAACCAAAGATGGCCAGTTATCAAAACACAGAAGTTAATGAAGGTAATTCTGATGGAAAATCCTGTATCAATGAGAATACCAATGTACAGAATATCAAGCAAGAAGCAATTGATACAGAAGAAATCAATGCTGTTGATTCTCGGGGTTCATCAAGTAGTTGCTCAAAACGCAAACACATTAAAGTTGAATATGAAGCAACTTCTCAAGTAAAATCTGAGTGTACAGAAAATTCAGAAATACAAATTCCGTTAATTGATAAGAAAGCTCCTTATAATTGGGAAACAGTTTTAACTAATTTACGAGAGATGAGAAAAAATTGTGATGCACCTGTTGATACAATGGGTTGTCATAAATGTCATGAAGAAGACGCTCTAAAACTAGAATTCATTACCCAACAAGGAATGGTCATGTAAACGACTCGTAGTCATAAAAACAAGGATTTTTGCATCTTTTGTATGTGAATGATGTGTGCATTTCTCTAAAGAATTTTAAACACTATTTACTAATTTTTTTCCTGCATTTGTAAGCTTTGAATTCTTTATGTATTAATGGAAAATGGAAACCCAACAAAATTTTTCCAAACTATCTGTCCAAAAACTTCTTTTTTCCTGAATGTGAATCAATCCTTTTTTTTGAATGTTCAGTTTCTAATCAATTGCTAGGAGTGAATTCTAATTCTACCTCTTGATATAAACAAAAATGTTTAATTCCAGGTTATGAGATATCAAATACTTATATCCCTTATGTTGAGCAGTCAAACCAAAGATCAAGTAACTCATGCAGCTATGGAAAAGCTCAAAAATCATGGTTGTACAGTTGAAAATATTCTCAAAACCTCGGATGAAAAATTAGGAGAACTGATATATCCTGTTGGGTTCTGGAAGGTACATGAAAGATTATGGATTTTTTTTTTCAACTCTTTTGCTGCGGTGGGCTTTTCTGCAGCTGCCTCTCACAAACACGCCTATTTCAATATGCGCAAGAATTCTAACTTGCAGCAATCTTGCCCATAAATGAATACATTAAACGTACACGGCCGGAGATAACCTTGTCGAAGATATTTTCCTGGTTTCAAAGCACTTTGTCAGTTGTCTTATCGGCATTGGTAATGTCTACCACCATCGTAGACGAAATGCCAGGCTTGGAAACCTGCAGACCAAGCTCAACAAATCCGGAAAATTGCTTTGACATAAATTATTGATTCAGAGAGAGAGAGGGAGATTAAAATTCTTCATTGTCTAAAGAACAAAAATTAATACTAACAGAGTGTATCTTATTTTCATATTTTAAGAAATAATCACATATCAGTCAGAAGATGAACCTAAATAGTTTAAAACGAGACCTATAACAAAACATGAATAAGTCAGAAAATAATGAATGAATGTACATTATATCGACCATGGTAATTAGACTAACACAAGATGCTTCAGTATTGGAATTGAATCCGATTTAAAATGTTTCGTTAAAAAAGTCAGGAACGCAGTAGTATGGTTTCTCAGTGAGTAATGTTTTCAATGCTTTTTTGAAAATTGTTGATCTTTCAATTTTCTTTATCTCCAGTAGTAAATTGTTATATATTTCACAATCATCGTATATAAAAGAGTCTGACAAGATTTGAGCCTGAAATAGGTTCAAGCCGACAGGTCGGGTGATCGATTTTCACTACCTATTGTCCAACCGGGCTGGGAATCGCACTTTAAAAATAAGACCTCGTTAATCCTCAGCTCGCACAAGTTTCAACTTTTTAATATTGTCGTTTGTAGAGGGGCGACAGCTGGTAACCAGAAAAACATATTTTCAAACGATATAGATGTTAAAGGTTCTCTAAACTCTTCAGAATATCATGTGAACGAACCGCTTGGCTACCGACCGACCAAAAAAAGTCTAGTAATTATTTTTTGGAAAGAAGCCACCTCTTCTCCAAGTATATGAGATGGGTGTTTCATTCAATCAAAAGAAAGCAGGACTGCGCTGAAACGAAATTGATTATCGAATCTTATTATATATCTAGTTGAGACTTCTTTCCTCTGAAACTTTTCCTTCCGCTATTTTCAACTTTGGGCAGAATAAGATTTTTATGCACATTGTTTGTAAACAAGACAGTCAAGAGCAATATGCAATATTTTGATTTTGCAGTAACTTCTTTAACTAAAATAATTTGCATACAAAGTGACATACTCCGGTTAACGGACAAAGCTATTCAGGCTCTTATTAGCGTGGCTTATACGATCAAGCAATATNATAGTTTATGTTATATGTTGAAATATTTTTCTTTCAGAGCAAAGTAAAGTATATGAAAAGAACTACAGAAATATTAGAAAAAGAATACAACAGTGATATACCTGATACGGTAGAAAAACTGTGTAAACTACCTGGAGTAGGACCAAAAATGGCTCATATTTGTATGAATACTGCTTGGGGACAAGTTACAGGAATAGGTTAGTATATGGTACACTTGATATTTTACGTACTTTTTTGTTCTAATTTCTGGAACTAAGTAAAATGCCTTGCAATAGAATTGTATTGACCAGTTGATGCATAAATTATGACTATCTCTCACAATTATAACGGATTATGTTTTTCATTAAATTATTTATTCATCACTGGATAGATTAACGGGCTATGGTCTTCACTTCCCTGCGATTCATTTGATTTGTTTGATCTGCTTATTCATTGATGAAGATTTCAATTGAAAAATTCTACCTTTTCAGCCTTGGAGAATAAATTACAGAAAAAATATTAAAAGTACATCATTCGACACTCATATTCTTAAAATTCAGAAATTTTGGTTAGAATCTAGTACTTATTTGTGCTAAAAATATATTTTAGGCTAATTCACGAAATGAATCAGTTTTTTATAACTTCTCCAATGTCTTTAATCAACACTGATTTATGCGGATGAAAACTTTTTAATAGGGTACAGATTTTCATTGTTTACAACCCAACTTTAAAATGATTGTGGATGGACACAATTGAATTTGAAAAATAGCTATGAAAAGTAACTGAAAGACCCAACTAACTAAAAGGCTATTTCAAGGATGTACTCAAAGAATATCATGGAGTACACGGCCGGAGATAACCTTATCGACACTATTGCAGCAGTTACTTGAAACTGATTATTCAACAATATTTGTTTAAATTATATTTATTAACAATCACATTTATTATTTTATAGGTGTTGACACACATGTTCATAGAATATCCAATAGATTAGGATGGGTGGATACAAAAACTCCAGAAGAAACAAGAAAAGCGTTAGAAGGCTGGCTACCATACGACTTATGGAGTGAAGTTAACCATTTGTTGGTTGGATTCGGTCAACAAATATGTCAACCTGTTAGACCACAATGTGCAACTTGCTTGAACCATGAACTTTGTCCTTATGGCATAAAATATATTAATGGCGAGTTGAGAGGAACTAAATTAAAAAAGGAGAAATAAGAGGAAAATAAGAGAAATACTTTTTTTATGTACTTCTTGAGTTTATGCATTTTTGCAATAAATTTTTTTTTGTGCTGGCATATCTTATTCCCTTGCAACATTTTTGAGGATTCTTATTATTTATCAACTTTTGGCAATCTATTCAAAAGGAAATATTGCCCACAAGGAAAGTAACAAACGTTAAAATTTCACATCAACTCATAACCCCCAATCTTGCCCGGAATATTTTTTTTGGAGAACCACAGAATAAATGTGATTTGTGACATTAACTTGTCTTGTCTAGTGATATATCTATAGTGTATATTCCGTTATAATCTGTTTAATTTTTTTTTTGTTTATTCACAATTTATACTCGACCTTTTTTGTAAATACTACTGGCTTCATTGAGAATGATCATTTTTTGATAATACAGAATTTTTGATTGATTTGTAAATGTGAACACAAGTTTCCTCAAGAAGAAACGACAAAAATAACATGATGTGGACAAAATAAATTGCACATGTACACATCTTATTTCAGTTTGAGGGCCTATCAAGACCAGTATCAACAATCTACATATATGAGACTTCTAAATTGAAAATGATATTTACTTTCAACATACGATAGAATTGAATTACAAACTATTTTTGAAAGGTAAAAATCAAACAACATATAAATACAAAATATCTAACTTGATAGTTTTAAATTTTCTATGTATACTTCTCCAAAATATTCTAGATTGTTAAGGTGCTCTTCTGCTACCACCCCTTTTGAATTTTCCCTTCTGTTCTTGAAATTTCATTCTTTGCGCCTTCATTTGCCTAGATTTTTTCTTCTGTTTCTGCCTCTCCAATTTGTTTTTCATTTGAAACACTTTACTCTTTTGAACTGTTTTCGTAGCTTGCTTCTTTAAAGCTTTTTTAACGTCCTTTTCTGAGTCAAACTTCTTAGTTTCTTTTTTAATATTGATGGGTTTAGTTGTCCGCTTGAGTTCCATACCTGGTATTTCATTATCCATTTCAGTTGTGGGTTCATCGCTTACATCATTGTCACTTTCATATCTGGGTTGATTAGCTCCAATCCAGTTATTTTTTGTAGCAATATCATTTGTCGAAAGTTCAACTACCTTAACGCTCACATCGTTGTCTTCATATTTTTCACTTATTAAATTTTCTAGTTCTGGAATGGATCGATGTGAAACGACTAGTTTTTTATATGATTCCTTTGCTTCTGCTTTAATACGTTTACGTTCTTCTTTTAAATCTTTTTCAAATTTTTCTTTGGCTAATGCTGCTTCGTTCTCTCCTGTTCATAAAAGAGGACATATGCCTCATAGCTCACAAGTGATTATGGTGAAATTGGGAACACGTGTGAATCGTTGTATTCATGCCACGTGCCACTATATGGGTGTCTGCAATATGCTGTGTAATGTCCGTTGTAAAGTGTAATGTGCCGGAATTGAGTATCCAAAATATTGAATATATTATTATATTGTTTGTACCTGAGATCCCTTCCACTCGAACACAAAAAAAACATATTTTTTCTACTCCAATTTTACAATTTTGATCAGATCTTTGACATTAAATTCTTCTTCTCTTTGTTTGTTGTGCTTGATTGACATAATTCACTTGAAGAATGCCTTTACAACATTTATATTTAAACTAAAATGTTGGCACAAAAAGGGATTGGCTAATATGTAAAATGAGATTAATCGATCTCACTCTCCATAAATTCAACACGACAAACAATTAAATAGAAACTGACAGATCTTGTTCAATTTCGATTGTAATAATTTACTGAATAAATTCAAGAGCGATATCAATATACACCTAATATTGATGAAATTTTTAAAGTAACTGATGTAAACACTGACTACTGATTATATATTTTGTAAATATAATAATTTGAAAGTAAGTATATTATTATCATTACTATTTTATGATGAATAAGAGTTTTTAATTATTTGACGTTGACTTTTGACAGCAGGTGTAGTCAAATAACTAACTATGTTCATAGCATCTGTATTTTGAAATTTTTTAAATATTTTATGAAAAGTAGGGAGATACCGTATTGAGCAACTGCATATATCAATAGGAGGTTCCAATTTGTGAATAAAAGGTCATATATATTTGTGAATTATTTTAAACAAAGTATTTATTTTATCTTCCGCGGTATTGATTTTGACCAATCAGAAATAACTAGTGGTGTTTAGTCGCGCTCATCCACATCATGGCTGTCAGTATAAATTTGTTCGTTGAACGATGAACTTCCCCTCAGTGAAATCTGCATATGAAAACATATTTTTGTTTGATTTTTCATTAAATATTGTGATTATTTGCCCCAAGAGATACAGAATGATGTTACAAATTAAATGACGAAAGTGTTTTAGAGGTTAGTAAAATAATTTGTCCATCATTTAATGAAAATTAACATTAAATTATTGGAAACAATAACATCCATCACAACATGGAAAAGGAAATGAAGTATCTAATGTTATCATCCTCATGTGGAAACTTGTAAATTATTTAAAAGCATGTAAATGTGTTGAAATATGTTTTATTCGCACTTGTTTTGATTATGAATCTTGTAATAGCACTTATTGAATATATCTGAAGTGAATATTAGAATGTAAAAAATAGGCCAAGAATGCTGAGTGTTAATGATATAATAATTGAATTATCCATATGGATGTTCGAATATGACAGAAATTATTCTAACAGGTCAAAATTTTTATTTTTCAGGTGTCTTAACTTCTGGCACAGGAAATAAATAAAATACAATCATGACTTCTAGTAGGTGAGTATTATAAATCAGAACTATTTCAGCAACTTAATAACTTGGTTTGAAAGGTATTTATGGACAGCTATATTTTTAAACTTGGATACTGTATAAGTGGAACATTGTGACAAGGCTCTCTTTCATTACTACTATGTCAATATGTAAGTCAGAAATGTGATTGGTCTACAAAGTTTTAGAAATATAGAACAAATATTTTTGTAAAAGTACCACTAAATCAACAAATGACTGAAATTTGAAAAAAATGGGTTGATTATCTAAAATTCTTCTCAAAGATGAGAAATATATTGAACTTTACATAAAAATTGATTTTCCATGTCAATTTGTATACCAAATATTAAAAAGGAACTGAAGTGGAGCTCACTTATGGAAATCATTACTTACATGGCATAAATAATGAATGAGAATTGATATACATGCAAACTGAACTCTGGGTTTTTCAACTCTGCAACAGTAGTAGATATTTTTGGTAGTTTCAATGATGAATCTTGAATAAATCAGTGTGTTTGTTCACACAAATCTTCTCTTAGTCCTAACCTTGTTTGAATACTGAGTTTAGTTTCTGGAAAAAACACTTTTCAAGGTAAATTAACAGTAGAAAGAAAATGGATATAATTTTTTATTAGAGAGAACAAAATCTAGGTTGTGGAGCCGTAGTTAAAAAGAATTTGTAGTACCAAGGGTTAGTTAGTCATTGCTGAGACTTCTAGATTCTACCTTCGTTCTCGCAGTCAATGCTTTCACATCTAAATATGTTTGCGGCAGTAGCATACTTTTGGTACTACAAGTTCATTTTGAACAAAACCTGTATGTACTCTCTAATTGTGACTCTGGCCAAGAAAGCCTGTGTTCTTATATAATATTTGAGTAGAAACAAAGAAATGGAAATAATTGCATGACAATAAAATAACTACCATAAATTTGTATTTCATTAATACTTTGCGCTTTTTAGAAAAGGCCAGTACCTAAATACATTTTGGAAAAATGTATAGTTTTTCAAAAAAATCAGAGCCTATTTTTGCAAATTTGTGTAGATTTGTAATTTTGAATTATGAATATTATGCTCTAAATTCAACGTTTCTGGAGATTGTGCAAAAACACTATCTTTCCAACTTGCTCTTCCCCCTACTTTCCTAAAACTGAGCAATAAAAAATTTAGGACGGTAAAAAAAGTTTGTTGAATTTCTAGTGGGTTTTTTCAAAATTTCACTGTACTACAGTCAAGAAAGTTTTTTAAAAACCTCCTACATAAAACTTATTCCTTATGTGTCTCCATCCAAGTTGTCAACATCATGAGGTTTTGTATGATGCTCAATTATGAAAATTCAGTAACTTATTCAGAGAAAGAAAGTTATCATAAGTTATTACCGTTTTACAGTAACGTGAAACCTGACGAAAATGTTATTCATAAATGCCTTTCTAACTTTTTAGTGAGGAAGAACGTATCTTATCACTTTTCAGCAATAATTATAGAAAGATATGCACATTTTTTGATAAATAATGAATACATTTTTGTTTTGTTTATACATTCTTCGTTTAAATGCGAAATTCAAACTATGCTTGGTGATTATTGTGTACATAATATTAGGAGGATATCGACTCTTCAGATTTGATAAACATATAAGTAAATTATTACAGCCTACTCTTCCTTGAAAATTAATTACAGAAATAGACAAGTTCAACTCCCGACATTAAAAAAAAATTATGTGTGAAACGTTGATTTTATCCCTTTTTAAATATGGTAGCAAATATAAAAGAAAACATCAAAATGAACAAAATTCTTGTTTGAGACTCATTTACGGGATGAGAATATGTCAGAAAATTTCTCATAAACTTTTTATGCTGGCTGGTTGAACATGTTCCATGGCATAATCACTAATTTAACACCTTCATACTTACATAGAAAAATAATGTTTCAGCTAGATCTTCATAATTTCAATTTGACATTAAAAGTTACTTCGAGTCCTCCAGCTTTCAAAACGGAATCATTCAAACGGTCATACTCTTACCAAGTCGACAAAATATATAATGGAATTCCTGGTGATATAAAATGTAAATGTATCCCACATTTCTAATCTGCTTTGAGAGATTACTTACTACAGGCTTATCTAAAATTGGATCTGACTATATTCTTAGATAGATCTAACCTCTTCTTCACCTTTCTGTTTGAATTATTTCTTACATATCTGTCTGTTCAAAAAATGAGATAAATTTTAATTTTTCTCGGAAAATATTTATTTGCTCAACAACTTTTTCCTTTTGAAGGTTTTCCTTTAAAATATTTCCATATTGCATCCTTCTTTCTTCCCGACATTGACATTATTTATATTCCTTTATTTGAATCACTTGAATTGCAAACTAGAACGCTTATGGCCATATCACTGTCAGCATCAGATAGACACAACCATAGGTACTACTGCAGTCACCATCTACGAAAAAAAGCAAAACAAAATCAAAAAATCAAACAAAAAACACAAAAGTTATTTAATAAAAAATAAAAATAAAAAAATACAAAATCTGTTTTTTCATAATTAATTGAAAAATTTAAAACAAATTAAAAACCAAATGTTTTTCTCTCAAAAAAAGTTATAGATTTAAAAAAATATAATGATAACACTTCCAAAATACAAATCATGAAATTGGCGCTCCGGGGCGACTTCATTGATTCCAGTGGCGCATTTGGTTTTTCAGCTGCTGGAAAACCCGGAAAAACATGCAGCACCACATCATCTGAAGATCTTGATCTGCTAATGTCCTCTCTCTCATAAAACAAAATGTAGGGTGTTATATCTGCCAACACGGCTTTCAATAATAATAAATAAAAAAGGTTTATTCACAGTAAACAACATGTAGGTACATAAAAAAAATCGTTTAAAAATACTATCGTTTATCAAAATCAGGATGAGAGGTGAACAAATATGAAAAAACCACAAAAGTGGCTATAAAAGCTACTTGTATATGTGTATATGCAGGAAGTAACAAAATAAGTTTAATATAAGAGCACAAGTATCCAATATAAAGAGGATATCATAATTATGGTGAAATCTGGAGTTTGACATGATCGATAAAAAAATTCAATATTTAGCACCTAAGTATCTTTGTATAAAAATACCCACGATACTATTAATCCCATTCTGATTCTAAGGTTTTCTCTCAAATCAGTTATATTTAAGTTACAATCCGGTTAATTTTACATTTTTAGGTTAACGTCGTTTAATACTGGATAACATGACATATAAACACAAATCCTTGTGAATTCATCCTAATCAACTGTAATAGGTGTAATTCAGTTTTTTCTTGACGGTTTTTGCTTAAAAATGGTATTGATTGTTGGTCTATCACTGACAATCCACTTTTTTATTTTCTTTTCGAATAACATATAAACAGATATATTCTTTAGCTCATTTGGTAACAAACTGTTTTTTTTTTTATACGAGCAGAATACACTGTTCTCACTTTGTTGATAACATTCATTTTCTAATACCTCAGTTCAACAGTAAGTTAAAACTGTATTTCTCACTATTCAGGTACACCAAGAACAAAAATGTTCATCAAATTTCCAGTTTGCATTTTATATGTAGTACATTCAAACGGAGATATATGAATTTCACTTTATACGTTTTTCACAAAGAGGTGTCCTATCCGATATTCCTACGTAATGCTACCTTTTTTCTATAATGAATAAAGATTTTTTTTACAAATAACTGGCTGTCTTCAGTTCGGTTATCTCAAAAAACTTGCTTTGTTTAATATTCAATCTGATTATTTTTTTTTAGATTAGACAGGCTTTTTGTTCTGTTGGAAACTGGGAGTTCAGCAGTAACAAGATCGGCTGCTGCCAAACAACTAGGTGAGGTGCAGAAACTCCATCCACACGAACTAAAAACACTCCTATCGAGGACCGCTACCTATTTGAGATCGTCTTCTTGGGAGACGCGTATAGCAGCATCAGAAGCTGTAAGAGCAATTGTGAATAATGTACCTCAATGGAATCCTCGTGGAGTCGATTTTAAAATAGGTAACTGACAATTAGAAGAATTAGAATAATCATTCCAAAGTTCACAATAATAATTTTGAGTATTGAGGAAATTGTTAATCATATTTTTGTTGTAAACCGCTGATATATAAAAAAAGAAATTGGGAAGAGTTGAATGATTCATAGTGGTTAAAATTCAATATACGAGTATAAATATTATCTCAGAGAAGTGTGTTTTTTGACTGTTTTTTTTTGAATATTTCGATCTTCCAAAATCTGTATGGAGCTGAAAATATTTATTGATATTGAGAAGTTGACAAATTTTCACTATAAGTCCACTCCAGAAAGTTGCTATCTTAATGGTGAACAGTTTCTTCTTAACCGAAACAATATCTAATTAGTCATCAACTTGCAATCTGAATATGTTCACAATAAAATAGTTAATCAACGAGAATGAGCAACATTATTATATTCAGTATTGACTATTTAAATCTGACAGTTCAACACAATGGAATATTCCCGAAATGATAGCTTTATTTCTTCTTGAAACATACAAGATCTGTTCAAAAAATGAGGCGTATTTTCATTTTTCTTGAAAAATAATTATTTATTAGTCAATTTCTATTTTGTCCTTTTCAAAGTAGTCCCCCTCAGATATAATACACTTGTGCTAGCGTTTTTTCTAATTCTTGAAGCAGTTCGATATGCACTTATTGGTAGGTCCATGAGGTCTCTTGGCGATTTGCTTTTCATCTACGCAATCGTCGCAAAACGCTGTCCTTTCGTGGGGGTTTTGAATCTTAGGAACTGGAAAAAGTCGCAGGGGGCCAAATCTGGTGAATACGGTGGCCGAGGCATGGTTACGGTATTGTTTTTGGCCAAATTTGGCGAAATTGAATATTCACCTTATTCAGTGTTACTATTAATTTTCCGGGTTTGAAGGCCGTTAATTTTTTGTACTTTTTCCTGCCGTTTCGCTAGTGCGAGTGGCTAGCTTCCTCAGAGGTTTATACATCCTGAGTTAATATCATCGGAGATAGGAAGCGTTTAATGAAAGACCCTATATAAGCACTACCAACAGGCGGAGGAGGCTAGTCTAGTTGAAAGTGCAGTATGAAGTGAGCTATTAAGGCGTTAGACATTTGACTGTTACTCTGTTGTTTATTCTTTTTTTATTCAATTGTTCCATTTCTGAAACAGTTGTTTCTTTTGTCCAGTAAAAATTATCATGTTTGTATTGCAGGTTTCTATTGCAAGTTTTCATAAATGATCTTCCGAAATTTTGTTCAAAAGCTTCCATTACTGGCCTGCTGCTAAATCTCAAATTCTCATCTTTGTTACTAAAAATACAACAATTGATAAAAGCTATTTGGTTAGATTAAATAATGAAACTTTACATCAGTTAATTTTACTAAATTCTTAGGTGTTGATATTGATAATAAACTTACCTGGAAGTTCCATGTTGATAGTGTCGAACTAAAGCTCAGTAAACATATATATTTACTTCGTCTGTTAAAACAAACAGTCTCTTGATGTTCTCTAGCTTTTATACCACACTTTAATTCAGTCAAGTGGCAACCCTGCATTTTTTATTCGGGGTAGCAGTCTGATTTTTTAAATTGTACAACTTTTTTGTTTTGTAAACAAATCATGAACTATTCTAAAAGTTTCTTAATTATATAGTAGATGGACAATCAAATTCTTTTTCTGGAGTTGGAAGATTGCGTTTCACACATTTCAACATGGCATCAGTTTTGGCGAATAGCACCTATCTCATGGCATCCGAAGGGAATGAATTTGACTTGGAGGAAGATCCAACATTAGGTAGTTGTATTTTCATGTAGCTTCTTGTTGATTATTTTAATTTTGATGTTGTATTTCAGATAATAAGGAAAAAATGGCAAAACAGAGACAACTTCTGAATGCGAGGTTGGGTTTGAATTTATCAACACAAATGTGCTTTGATTCGTCAATGTTATTCACAAATGATGACCTCATGAATAGTACTGAAAATCACAATTCTGATAATACAAGGGTAATTTTCATTTATTTACTCTCTTATATCTTCACTGCATTATTTTTTTTTTATTTCAGAAAAATGTTCGAGAGGTAATATCTCAAGAGCTGAGCTCAAGAGAAATTAATAGGGCAAAGCGAAAAGCTCGACAGGCATTTGGTAAGCAGAGATCTAAAGACAATTCAGAGGATAATGGCTATGATGAGACTGATAGAAAAAAATTTAAGGCTGAAGCAAAGGACGAATTTGCCACTTTCGGTGGTAAGTTTTAATTTATCACATAATAATATTTCAAATAGGCATCCTAATGTACAAAAACATTTCAAAATTGGATAGAAAAAGTCATAGTCCAACTTCATAACACTCAAATATGTATGCTCAGAATTATCCAAGCATTTAATAAATATAAAAAACAATGTAAATTACAAATACTAGGTATATGTGTTATTATAATATCAACGTTAATGTGGATGTTGTATTTCCAAATGACTAGTGAGTCCTTTTTTGAATGTCATAATAGATTCACTGTTTTATCTCAAGCGGGAGGTTATTGTATCCCTTTATGGAATAAGGAGTTCATGGATCGTGTAAAGTTCAAATGTGGTACATATAAATTAGAATTCCCCCTAGTGGGGTAATTATGAATTTGGTGATGGAAAACAATAAATTGGTCAAAATATGGGGGTACATTACCAGACAATATTTTGAAGATGAATACCATGGTAAGATAGAACAGACGGTCTTTCANAATTTTATTACCTGAATATCGAAAAATTTCAGCACGAACATTTGTTCGAAAGTACAATGTTCGAATATATGAACAGAATACGTGAATAACTGAAGTCGTATTTGTCAACAAATAGCCGACCTTTTTGAAGCGACTAGATATATCATCAATACGTCGACTTCATAGAATAGAATAGTTTATTGGCTACGTGATACATTTGAACAAATATTTGTAGCAAGTCAAAACACAAAAATTTATAAATATGACGTCATATATACAAATAAAACTATCACAATGCTTGTATAACAGAACAGTGTACATAATAATAAAAACAATCATCAACTAATGTTAAAAATGAGAACAATTGTTACTCACTCAAAATTACATGAATTATCTATGTTGTAAAACATGTATTCATCTGTAGAATAAAAACAGTGATTCAAAAAAAAAATGATGAAATGAGAAATGATGATAAGAAAGAAGATTCATTTAAAATTGTTTTCAATTCATTCTACAATCCTCAATCTGTTCAATTGCAATTTATTATCAAAAAAAAAACATCTTCTCGACCTTCTGTGAAAAGTTTGTACCACATGTAAACAGTTTTCTGACTCAGAGTACAATCACTGTATGCCACTGTCAACATTCAAAGTATTTTTAAGAACTTGATTCCATTTTTTACTCAAAATTTGATGCAAATTCATTGTACCAACTTAAAAAAGATAAAGAAAATCACTAATCGAATGTATGTAGTCCACGGAATTTGAACATTCATCTTATTTTTTGAATACATCTTGTATGTTCAATTCCAACTACCAAGCAGAGTTCATAAATATGGCAAGTGGGATCTTGTCGAAACTTTATAATAATGTCAAAGATGTACACTAGGGATATTACTTGAACATGTGATAGCATCCGTGGAAGATCTAGGATTTTGTAGTAATATGTGGCGGATACTCAGCTATATGTAGCGCAGAGTATTGAAGTAAAACCAGACATCTGTGCAATGTATTTCGTTTAGAAGATTCTTCGGAAGTAACTTACTATATCCGATAAACTGAAATTATTTTCATTTGGTATGGGTTACAATCTACAGATTAGCTTTTGTTCAAGTTTAGTTATATGTAATGATGATACGAAAAAGTATTATTCGATGTTGGAACAGTAATGAAACAGTTGAAATGTAATCAAAATTCGCCCATCTCTGAACTTGTTCAAAAACAAACTGAAGAAATTTGTGATCAATGTACAAATATGATATGTATTATGCAGTGACGGCTCGTTCATTGGAGAACAGGAGAGGCTATGAAGAGTCATGAAGACTATATACACACAGAAAAGCCCGCCGGAGGCGCAAAATTTTTTATGTTGTTGCACGCTTTGCTTAATACTAAAGTTAGGGCATGGGCATGACAATGGCATGAGGAGCTATGCACTTAATTTTAGTTTGTAAACCATTTAAATGGCCGGCCATGACCGCAACCCCATCATAGGTTTGCGTAAATAACTTTTGCCTAAAATTATAGGTGTCACACGTACGAATTAAAAAATTAAACAAATCGTCAGCTGTACGCCCAGATGAAACATCATGAAAACCCATAAAACGTTCTACCATATTACCGTCTTTGACATATCTAAAAACGATTGAAAGTTGTGATGTACAGGTAATATAGGCGGTTTCATCAATTTTCCATTCAAAAAAGAAACACTTCCAATCTCCTTGCTTATATTTTTCTTAATAATATATGCCACACTGTCTATAAGCTCATTTTGGATGGTTTTTGAGGTGCCCGAAAAAACGCTACCTTTTGAAAAAGTGCCAAATTGTGAATCATATTTGCCCCATAACATTGAAAGTTCCTTGTTATAGCCGCGATTAATCGAATCTTCGGTTTCATCGTGTCCACAAAAAGCTAAATATCAGAAATGTATGTAAATTGGGATTAATTATAAATTATTCTTTGCAGATGGAAACTTGTCACCAGATTTGGCTGGAAGATATGTCTATAAGACTTCTGTGTGTACTAGCCTTGGATAGATTTGGAGATTTCGTATCTGATGCAGTTGTAGCCCCTGTAAGAGAAACTTGCGCCCAAGCCTTGTGTGCCGTCTTGAAATTAATGAACTTAAGTTCTTGCAAAGGAGTCCTGAAGATTCTTCTACAATTGTTGGATCACAAGGAATGGGAGGCAAGACACGGAGGACTGCTGGGGTGGGTATTGTTTTTTTTTCATTCAATTATTCATCGAAATAATTCCAGTTGTTTATAACGATAATGATATAATATTGATGATGTGTTTTCATCTCTTATTTTTACAATACCTTGATTAAATTACCTTTGAGAAAAAAAATGCGTCATACTTTCAGTATTGAGGTAATTTCTCCGTTTTCCATCTTAAGCATCTGTAACTTGTTCAAATCACACACAAAAGATACTGGAAGAAAACAATCCTTTCGAAACGACTGCTTTCGCACGAATATTGAAAAAAACAAGAAACAACTACTTTCATATGAACATTGAATTACATGAAAATCACGTTTTTCCATTCAGATTGTACTACAATCATTCATTATGAAGTTGAAACAGGCATCATTCATAGGAATGCTATACAATGTGATGTATCACAATGGGGAATGCTCCTCCTGATGAAAATCAAGTAGGTTTCATAAAAGAGCTCTAAAACAACGCATTTTAAACTTATCATTTCTACCTTTTTTTTTTAAAAATTATTTCAATACTTAAAAAAGAGGAATGAAATAATATATTCTACATTTAAAGGGATTCGTTTCTATTTCACCATTTGGCAACATCGGTTATAGCAAATCAAATTTAAATACTTTTTGAATGATGAAATGTTGGAATGTAAAGAAGAGTGTCAGGATTTGGGTATATTGTTAGATGCCAAGCTTTGTTTCAACAACCATGTGAATTCTGTTTCTATGAGAGCTCTAAAAATGCTCAGCTTTATTGTGAGATCATCAACCAATCTTTCTCCATTCACAACCAAAGTATTATATTGCTCTTTAGTAAGCCCTATCATAGAGTATAACACCATCATCTGGAGTCCCTACTACCATAAGTATAAACAACAATTAGAAAATGTGCAAAATAAATTTCTAAGGACCATGGCATACAAACTAGGGTTGGTTATAGGTGAATACAGTTACAGTGAAGTACATCATGCCCATATGTTGATGCTTCACATAAACTTGTCTTTGGATAATTGGTTACATTTGCATTGAAATAGTTCAGTATTACATATTATTATCTAGGTAAATAGATTGAATGGAAACTATTTTTTTGGAATTTGAGAACTGGACAGTCACTGATCATAACATTCATTGATATTTCTGACTTGTTTCCACTTTTTTCTTTTATTTTAGATAGATTAATAAAGCAAATGACTGACCATAGTAGTCTATGGTCATGGCATCAAAAAATAAAATAAGAAATAGAATAATAACAATTATTACAATCATCATAACTGTTATTCTCATCAAGAAATGTTCTCTCAATAGGTTGAAGTATTTATTAGCAGTCAGGGAAGACCTCATCGACAGTTTCCTTCCAGAAAGTTTTCCATTTGTCCTCCAGGGTCTTTCTGATGCAGTAGACGATGTCAGTTCTGTTGCGGCTTCAGCTTTAATACCTGTGGCTGAAAAATTGACCGAACTTGTGCCTGAATGTATTCCTCAAGTCGTGATGAAGTTGTGGGACCTTCTAGCGGAACAAGATGAACTTGCCGCTGCGTGTAATAGTTTCATGGGTCTGCTTGCAGCTATTTTGAATCTTCGTAAGGCTCAGGCATTCTTACCGCCACAACCCTTGAATGAGGTTGTCCCTAGACTATGGCCCTTCTTGTCTCATAGTAACTCTTCTGTGAGGAAAGCCACATTGCAAACATTGGGTAAGTCAACAAAAAATACATATATGAGGGAACTGCTTCGTAATTGAGTAATGTGCTATAAGAAATACAATTAAAAGATTAATCAAACTGAAGAGAACAAAATCTGGGTAAACAAGCTGTGTTTGAATGGAATCTGAAGTACCAACGTTTCGTCTACTACTGTAGCAGACATCATCAATTGAATGTGTGCTGCGAGGAAGTACATAACACCAATGATGTTTGCCACAGTAGCCTGATGATGTGTTTGAGTTTTGTGTCATGAGCCATGATTGTGAATCATGGAGCCACTATTATCACGTGCGGTTTATTTTTTACTAGATTTGTCTACATACATTGTGAATGTACTATGTTAATATCAGAAATCCCTGGAGTAGGAATTTGAACGTCTGACAATTGACTAATATGAAGAAAATGAAATGGAATGATACCAAACATTATTATACTTAGATATGAAATTGTCAAAACTTCACAAACATAAACGCTTTGAATGTATTATACTGCTCATATGTCAGATCCAAGCTTGAATACTGCTCAATTATTGGGGGTCCCTACTATGTCTGTCTTGAAATTCTTGTACTTTGAAAACACTGGAATTTATCCAGCTAGGGGTTCTGATCACAATAGCCTTGTTAACCACTTTCGATTAATTTCTTTAGAAAAAAAAGATATGCTTCAATAACCTTTCTCCATAAACCACTGCACAGCCAAGTAGACTGCAGTTTGCTCTTATCAGAACTCAACGTCAGGGTTTATACCATTTATATATCATAATAGAATTCGCTAGAAAGTTACGCAATCGATAGCATTATTCTCGCTACTTCTAGAGCGGCAGCGAACATCAGTAGAATTGCTCCATGCTGCTTGCCCCTTCATCACTGTTTGGTTGTATTTGAGTATGCAGCCCGTGAGGATTCCTTTTGATCCAAATTTACTGATTCACGCAAAATCTCACAGGAAAAAAGCTACCATTGATGGGTTACATAATTTTGACCATACGGTTGTACCGCCAAAGTTATACATTGGAGGTGAGTTTATTTATTAGAAATGTATTGGCATTGTGGCTTTATGGTTGAAAGAAGGTAATTCTGAATGTTTTGTACTGTATAAATAAAATAATTTCAAATTCAAATATAATGATACACTTGCCATCAAAATTGACTCTAAAGAATGATGGAATCTTGTTCTTGTTCAAAAAAACAAATTTTTTTCTTATTATTATAATATGAGTTAATCAACACAAATAGAGCAACAATGGAACTCTGAGTGTAGTATTTGATGTTGAAAAACTCCAGGTTACATTCACAATTGTAACATTTATTAAGATGTTAATACATGACCTACTTGTGTGCCCATGAGTCATGTATTAACCTCTTAAGATGTTAATACATCTTGCTTGTGTACCCATGAGTCACGTATTAAAATCTTAAGATGTTAATATTGGACTTACTTATGTGCCCATGAGTCATGTATTAAAATCTTAAGATGTTATCATCTTAAGATGTTAATATATCACTTACTTGTGTGTATTAACATCTTAAGATGTTAATACATCTTTAGATGTTAATACATGACTTAATAGTGTGCCCATGAGTCATGTATTAACATCTTGAGTAATTGTTACAATTGAGAATGTAACCTGGAGTTTTTCAATATTAAATACACACAAGTAAGTGATATATTAACATCTTAAGATGATAACATCTTAAGATTTCAATATTTGACTCATGGGCACACAAGTAAGTCCAATATCAACATCTTAAGATGTTAACATCTTGAGATTTTAATACGTGACTCATGGGTACACAAGCACAAGCATTAACATCTTAAGAGGTCAATACATGACTCATGGGCACACAACTAAGTCATGTATTAACATCTTGAGTAATTGTTATGATTGTGAATGTAACCTGACGTTTTTCAACATTAAACACTACATGTAGAATTCCGTTGTTAGCCTAAGATTTTCTGGTAACTGGTCATTGCTATTTCAGGAAGTGAGACAACGCCATCCCACACGAGGGAAGTAAATTCCTTAAAAATAAGGTGCATGGCATCCAGAATGCTGGGACTCCTATCTTGTTACTTGATAAAACCAGCGCCCGGTGTTGACTACACAACAGCAGGTATTGAGCAACCCATTGAATGTTATGTGAAGGTTCTTCTAGTCCACTTGAATTCTAAGTCAGCTTTGCAGCGTATGATGACAGGTCTTGTGATTTCCCAATGGGCCAGTTTAGATGAAGAAATAGCAGACTGTCCACAGAATTTAAAACTACGTTTGCACCAGTGTCTCAACGAATGTGTGTATTTCGATGAGATCGCTCACAGTTTCACTAGGTTAGCGCAGGTAAAGATATTTTTTTATATTGGATTGTTCTCAAAATAACTTTATCGTTTTTTCAACTGAATTTATAATAGGAAACCAAGGATTTTCTGGCTACATTGAGACACTACAAAGTTCCTGTGGTTGTCGAAAACGAAAACGTACTGACCCTTCAACAAATCGAGAAGTTAACGGGAAATGAAACTCAACAAACTCTAGTCAACTCAAAGCTGAAGGCCAAAGTTCATGAAAACCTGGAGGAGAGAAGAAGGAGTATACATTCATCTGTTCTGCAGACGACAGCTGAACAGCATAATCTTAGTACCAGTACTTTCTGTAAGCGGTGATGGGAATTTGATTTGTCAGATTTTTGAAAGTTTTCTTTGTTTTAGCAACCCTTGCCGGTGCCATAGTGAAGTTTAAAGCCTTATCGGAAAAACTCACGCCGATAGTTAAACCTCTGATGCAGTCTATAAGATATGAGACTAATGAGAATTTGCAAAAAATTGCTGCGGAACATCTTGCTTCACTTCTGGATCAGTCTCGACAGCGCAGCCAATGCCCCAACGACAAAATCATAGCTAATTTGTGCACATTTCTCAGGTAAAATGTTTGAACGATTTGTANTATGAAAACTACTTGATGTTGAATCCTATTAGAAGAGTGTAAAATTAAATAATGATATTTTCATACAAATTACTATATCTTGAACCTACATCCAATTTATATAATCATTTGATCTTTTGGATGTTGAACCTATCTATCAATAGAAGGCTTTTTGTTTAATCCTTTAAAATAATTACCATCCTTGATAATACTGGATAAACCAAATAACTACTGGTTGAGTCTTACCTGTCAAAATTTTGGAAGAAATCGATATTTGTTATTGCTGAAAAAATACTTTTCAAGGAATTTTGAATACAAATCAAAATACACCAGACCTGCCACAGGTTTCATTCGTGGTGATCGGCTGAACTATGACGCAATATATGGAATCGACAGAAGACTTAAATCACACTATCACCAATGAACGAGGCTACCAATGGTGGTCTATTGCGAAACCCAACCTCGACAGCTTTCACTGCAAGGCAACTAATTGAGACCATGGCCTAAAAATGAATAGTTCGTGATTTAACACCAGGCAGTCGTGTTTCGACCTGTCATATGTCTTCATCAGTGATGCTAGGCTCGAATGCATTGTTGGATTCAACTGTCTTGAGTGAGGGAAGGCGATGATATTTATATATATTCATGAGCTTGAAAGAAGGGCTCATATTTAGGTTTCTTTGCTTAGAAAGACAGGATGAATTTCATTTGGCAGTGGCTGTCCAATCTTTGCTTTTTATTAAGTTGTCTCGAAAGTTTGGTCCATTTTTATGAGTCTACTTTAAACTGTGATATCTCAGTGAATACATATTCAATTTAGTGCACTTTTGCCAACATAACACTAGTCGAATAATTCCGTCAGTATAAAAATTCTGTGCTCGGGATTCGATGAAGTCGACGAAGACTGTTTTTGCTTGGTCCTGATGGCGAAGGTTCTTCAGGTTAAAAAGCTATAAAAGTACTTGAAAAATGGCCTTTTTTTGGTGGTTTTTCGCCTGGATGGCTCATTGGTGTCCAACCACTGGACAGAACGTCTCCTGTTATAAAG